AGGATTGTTGCTCACAAGGAAGCTATTAAACCAAGAGTTCCAAATGGTGAAGTTGAAATCATCCCTTCGTAAATTTTACGGACGCCACCACGAGTTGGTTGACCGTTATGGAATAACCGTTTCACAGATGATATCGGATATGTTCCTTATGTCGTAACTACAATACCCTTCCCTTTTCACAAATGTGACCTACTGAATTAGACTATTTACCGGATTTGTAATAACATAAGCAACGCGACGGGTGCCACATGTAGAGCATGATCTGCTTACCCTTCCGGAGCACCTGAGATCACCCCCAGTTTTTGGTTGGGTTCGTGTTGCTTAGACTTTAGTTTTCTATGTTGTGTCATCTGTACTATTATTTGTCTGTTTGTCTTTTTATTTTTGGCCATGGCGTTGTCAGTTTGTTTTCGATCTATGAGTTTGAATGTCCCTCTGGTATCTTTCGTCCCTCTTTTATGGATGAAACATTTAAATTTTGACCGAAATTCTTCAATTAGCTTTTTACTTAGTGGATTTAAAATTGGAAACTTAATTCATCTTGTGTCCACTCTTTGGCATGAATAGTCTGAGAAACTGTACTATCATAGTTTATCTAAGCTTGTTCCAATTTGTGGAGACCGACATTTTATTTCTAAACCACCTGCTGTACCTGTTGACTTTTAGAAAGAGTCATGGTTGTTATAAGGAATGTCGTTTTCATCTGACACAACCATGATGGGAAAAGGTTGATGCTTTAAGCTGTATATGAATATATGAAAGGTATTTTTTGTATTAAATGTTTTTTATGTTATGTTAATAAGGCGCAAATGTCCTATTGGAAAAGCGCAAATGTCCTATTGGAAAAGCGCAAATGTCCTATTGGAAAAGCGCAAATGTCCTTTTTAAAAAGCGCAAATATCAAAAATGAAAGTGCAAATGTCCATTTAAAAATCGCAAATGTCTTACCAAAAAGCGCAAACGTTCCGCGCCGGACCAGACTTAATAATCAGAAAACAATATTTCTTTTACCAATTGATATACTTGCAACTAGTTGAAGCGCTTAATTATTTCAATAAGAACGAAAATTAATGCTTTTATATTTTTTTTCACTTTTTCTTATTTCAATACTTTTCCTTAAAAGTTATTAAAATAACTAAAAACGTGTCTAGATAAGTAGATTTACAAGATGAAAGGACCTTCAGAAGCGTAAATTGTCGAAAAGTACAAGTATATATGTTTCTATAATGCGTAATGCATCCGCCCTGGAAATATATGCATGTGTATGCATTTTTTGTGTGTGAGGGTTGTTACTTTCAGTTATATTGGGTGTCGTTCCTGCGTACAAAGTATGACAATATTGGCTAATTTATAGTTTATTTCGTGGCTGCATAAACTAAAAATGTACCAAGATAACGTTATTTTTACCTGATTGTTTAATGAGGAAATTATCAATCAACGTACCTCAATTGTGCATGATACCAAGCTTGAACTGTAATTTAGTCGATTAAGTTCTATTATCAATCTTAAATTGTATAAGATATAAAAACTTATGAAGAACGGACAAATAGACTGATATTGCTATAAGGCACCTAGTCGGTGTGGTATTATAAGATAATCAGATCCAATGGCATTGAACGGTTATAGCCCTATTGACCAACAAAAGAGAACCGGAGTTGAGTCATGCAAATCCAGTATTTGCTATACCAATTAAAAATATAAATTATCCTATAATTAAATAACGATTTGAACGTTTTCGTAGCATCAGATCTTTCACGATCGTTTTCACGATCTTCAAAAATCTATTTTTTGTAAATATTTCATTTTTTGCAAAATTTCTGTTTATGCTAACACAAAGTAAGTTTAAGAACCATTTGAATCATTAAAATGGAATTACATTTAACAAAAGAATTTGTTTAGTCATTCTAATTATGAAAAAAAAATTGTTTGTTTACATATTTTATGTCATTGAAATGTCGAGGAGCAATCTGCCTTTTGTAGTTTTGTAAAAACCTTGATTTTTCTCAGGTACTGATCATAACCATTTTGACAGACAGTTTAATTTTTTGTAAATTTGTCCGTATAATTCATTAAATTAGATTAGTTATTGACCTTGCATATGTCTTCTCGATAAAAATTTCCTTCACGATCCTATACCAGAGCTTTCACGATCCAATCGCAATACTTGACCACCGTTAGGTATTATTTCACGATCATTTTTCTCGATATACCGAATGACACCCGTGTTTAATGTTTACTTATTCAGTGTTATATCTAGTCTCACTATTTTTAATATATACCACCTTTGATAAATGTTTAGTATGACGATACATTTTCACTTTTGTTCTCGTACTAGGAACAACAAAATTATTTGTAAAAATTATTTCCGTACTCCATGTATACCTTACAACAAAATTATTTTTATTTACCTGTGTACTTTATTCTATTTGACGGCATTTTGTCCAAGGTTGATGTTGTCTTTCTGATATTGTTTTACCTCTAACCCCCTTGCTTTATTAATTTTGTATTTACATTGTGTCATAGATCAAATTTATTCGTTCAGTGTATGTTCACTTGTTTTGTTAATATGTCTTTTGATTGAGTTAAGCCATTTCAATTTATATTTTATAGTGCATGTGTGTTTCTATGTTGTGATGTTACACTATTGTTTCGGGTAGGGTGAAGGTTGGCGCCTATTAAAACGTATAAACCAGCTGCATTTGTTTGCACCTGTCCTAAGTCAGGAACCTGGTGTTCAGTGGTTGTCGTTTGTTGATGTGGTTCATAAGTGTTTCTCATTTCTCGTTTTTTATATACTAGTAGATTAGACCGTTGGTTTTCCGGTTTGAATGGTTTTACACTAGTCATTTTTGGGGCCCTTAATAGCTTGTTGTTCGGTGTGAGCCAAGGCTCCGTCTTGAAGGCCGTACTTTGACATATAATGGTTTACTTTTATAAATTGTGACTTGGATGGAGAGTTGTCTCATTGGCACTCATACCATATCTTCTTATATCTATATATATAGATAAAACATCACTTTTATACATATGCAAGAAAAATACCATGTGGAAGAATTATGGTACAAGATCACTTTGAACAGGGTAAACCTGATATAACTAGCAATCAGTTAATACAAAATAAATGATAAATATATTGTCAGTATGTATTTTGAGTAAATTTCTGTGTAAAAAAACTAAAAGGATATTTTTCGTAAAAAATGGTGACAAAAATTATATATTTTTTTATTATGTTGCTAAGGAAAATTAGGTCACCATATGGTGACAGTATGAAATCTGTATTTACGCATTTACATTTTATAGTGTATATGAAAAGTGAATATATTCAATTATTTAAACACTTTCTCAATTTTAGTGTATAAAAATGTATTTTCTGTAGGGTTTTATTTCCACACATGATTGAATGTCAAATAGTTGACTAGCAACTGGAACTCTGTATGTTTCCGACTCATTTGAATTTGGTTCTCTATAAAGTCAAATTATTGATAGCTGTTGACATATGCATACCATTTTAATATCTTTCACTCTTCAACTGTTTCGGTTCTTATACATTTTCGATTTTCAAATATTCGGCTTTGAACGTTCCTGATGAAGGTAAATGCAGAAAAGCGCTTCGGACGCATGAAATTATTTAACTCGTTGTTTTCATTTATTTTTCAGATAAATTAAGTAAATGACAATTGATTACGATGTAAAATTTAAAAATTGTCAATGTTTTTCAAACAGTCATACAGAACTTGGAAATAATTGTTTAACAATATTTGTCCATGATTATTTTAATAATGTGTTATGCTTATAATATACATCTTTCGTATAATAAAAGTACTTTATTATGAAACATGTAGATTGTTGTTTAAATCTCACTTACAAAAGGATGGATGTTTATGATTATTAAAATAATTTCAAGCCTGGTTGCTATGAAAATTACAAAGCCTTATCATGCCTAGCAACCATAGTCTGATGAAAGTTTAACTTTGAATTCCTAAGTAAGGCAATTATGTGAAGAGTTATGCTAATTATTATCAAAATCTGAGATTAGATTATCAGTATGCCACACTTTGCATGATTCTCAGAAAGACTACTATTCAAGTACTTGTAATGTTGATTCCTTAATTTTGTAGACATATGTTTACCATGGATGCCATAATCCTTTATCAATTTTTGATGGTTGCTACATATATTCATTTGTTGGAATTACTGTTGGTTTTGGTTGTACATAAGTGTGTAAATATTTGCGAAGAAGAATAAGGCAGGTTATACAAGTGCTTTAAGAAATATGTATATCATTATGGATATATGCATAATAATAATAAGGGAACATTTTGCACCAACGCACTGCCAGGGTGCCAGCCTCTATGAAATATCACAGGCTATAAATAAATAGTAAATAATATTATCGATAATTAATAACTGGTCAGCAGAGACACTTGTTCCGGTCTTAATTCTGAACTATTTAAAAATGATTAAGGATTAAGGAATATAACAAAAATGACAATAAAAATTATATTATGCATAATATGTGCATATCTTCAGTGATGGCGCAGACAAATTTGCGTAAAGTTTTTCGGCATGTAAAGTAAAATGATGTTGTTGTTTTTTTTAAGAAATTACATTTAAAGACTAGCATATAAATGCCTAATATTCAACCAAGACTACAGCGTTTATTTCGAATACAGAAATTATTTTATATTGCTAAAAAGGTACAGTTAATTGATGATAACATTAATAAATATGTTATCTAAGTAATGAAATCATGACTCTAATAAAGACAACTGTATTTGGTCAGCAAGGTATTTCAGATAGGTGAGCTGTGTTTCACTTCGAATATTTAAGAAAACCTGTATTCGTCGCAACAATTCAAAATAACACACGGGATGTATACACTTTTTCAGCAGGTGAATATGCTTTTTTATTCAAAATCGAACTCATATAGAAAACCCTACTAAAATTCTATCAATATGGAATAAACTGATATATTATACAAGGTAGACAATGATATTCACCTCACATCTTCCCCATCGTAAAAATCCCAGGCTGAAGCATGACATACAACATCTCGATTTGCAGGCTTTTCTAGCATGGATTTAGTCCAGAAACTTGTAGGCATCTTGTCTAATCCAATAGAGGTGAAAAACTCCTCAGCCACTCGATACATGTGGGAAACATTATAACCCTGTAATCGGACAATTGCTATTGCTGATAAAACATATATTTGGTCAATTCTTTAATACTTTTTTGCAAAAGAACATGTGCAGATCAATGAATTGTTTATATAGAAAAACGTTTTATTTTTTGTATTAAACAAGGAAAGATCATTCGGAAAAAAAAATACTACACCAAACTTCGGTTTTTTCTTTATTCCGAATGACGATATAAACGTACTACGTAAAATGTTAGCTTAATGGAATTATTGATAAAAGTGGTTATAGATAAGGACTGTTTCATTGAAATTATTATTGCACTTATTGCTTTTTTGTTCTAAATGAAATTCTTTACACAGATCTAATTGGGGTTTTAATGATTCTACACTCATCGTGACATTGCTGTCCGACAACTCTTGGAAGTCAAGTGGTCGATAATGAAGCGAAAAAAGACATACCTGATATACCGGTATCAGCAGATTAAGTAGTTTGAACTACTGGGGCTTTTAACTGATTCATTTTGACAGCGAAAAAAAGTTTTTAGTTTTAAAGTCCCATTTTTCAAAACTAAGGTTGCAACTCCCCTCAGATAAAGTTGACTTGAAGAGGTTTTGGCTGTTTTGTTGAAGCTTTTTCGGTATCGATACTATAGGGTGCAGTTGATAGAAAATCTGTCATCAAGTGAACCTTCCGCCCAATACTAAATGTTTCGTCAATAACATGATTCAAATGATATTATGTTATGTTTTCATGCCAAAACGTTTGCAACTACCTCTTGCAAAGGGTTAATCTTTGGCGTGGAGGCAGAAATAATTGGTGTTGTGATGTAGATCTTTGATAGTGTCTGTAAATGTTTTAACTTGTCTAGACTAAGAAGGATTAAAAGCTTGTATGTTTCAAATAGGGACCATGTTACAATCACTTGTCTGTTCAATTATGGACAACCGTATATGTTAACCTCTTACTATATAGTTTCTTTAATCTTATTTTACTTGGTTAACGGTCTTGGTTTGTTGTGTGAATAAGGGTTACTGCATATCGGCTCTTATGTTTCATGATATAAAACAAAATTGATGGCAAAAAGAACTCTTTAAACATTATGATTTAGCATGAACAGTAACTGACATATTTAATGTTGGTTAATGAGGTTTAAGATGTTTCATTCCGGTTACATATCAAATAATCAAAAACAACTAAAAAAACCAACACCCGATTCACCTTCTACAAACTTTTTCTTACCTTATCCTTCATTTTCTGAGTTATATCAAAACTGATAGCATTTGGATATGGCGTAAGTAAGTCGTAAATATTGCTCCAGCTTTGGGACCACATATTGCCTAACAGATGAGCCGGAATATGTCCTGAGTCGGGGAACAAAGCCGTTCCGTATTTATTTTTCAGCTTTTGTCTAACATAGGCATGCAATTGTTCATATAGAGGTAGTAACTCGTCATAAAGTTTTTTTACATCTGATTCAAAAGTTGAAGCTTCGTACCATGACCGCCAGTATTCGCCAGTGTCATTAAAACCTGTCAGTAAAAGATAAATAACTGTCAGACACTTTAAATACTAAAAAGCAGTTATCTAATTACGACAAAGTAGCCAAAAATATAACATTCAAACTTATACATGATATTAAAATTAAATGTTTGCTAAAAATTGCACGCTAAAAATCCGAATAACGACTTCTATCGCTCCTCGACATATATAAATATTTAAGTATACTCACATTTCAATTATGGACCTTCTACCAATTATACAACAGTGTTTGTGTTTACGTAACATTCAAGCTAAGCTATATTCACTACCTCTTTCTAAACTGATTCTCTGTTCAATTTATATTTTGAAACTCTTGATACAGGTCCTTATTTGAATCAATCAAAACTTGCAACTTTCATCTCGGATAGTACCAATAACAAATTGTTCAGGTCTATTGGAGAAAAATGAAACGGAGATACGCTCCTTTCTAAAATTATAATTTACCAAGAATCAGTTAATGTCATTAGTTTAGGTATTTATTTCGTCATAAGTAAACCACAAATTTCTCCATATCTTAAAGATCATCTATTCACAAAAAATAAGAAAAAAAAAAAAAAAAAAAAAAAAAAAACTGTACTTATATCGCATCTATAAAAGTTAAGCGATGATTCAAAATTGATAACACAAATTGAATGTTCAATCCAAGATAAAAAAAACGAATCGCATGAGCTCAAAACGGAATGAAACCGAGTAAGTTGATAGGGTAAAATTATTAAGGAACGCCAAAAACTGTCTTGTTATGCCCATTTTTATTATATGATGCGCATTTACCTTTATATGACGTGCACCTGTCATTATATGATGTGCAAATATACTTATATGATGTGCAAATATACTTATATGATGTGCAAATATACTTATATGATGTGCAAATATACTTAATATATGATTTGCAATTATACTTATATGTTGTGCATAAATCCTTATATGATGTGCAACCATACTTAAATGATGTGCAAATATCCTTATATGATGAGCAAATATACTTATATGATGTGCAAATGTACTTATATGATGTGCAAATATACTTACATGATGTGTAAATATACTTATATGATGTGCAAATATCCTTATATGATGTGCATTTTCCCTTATAGTATGTGCAAACATCTTTGTATGATGTGGTTGTGCCATTATATTATGTGCTTGTAACATTATAATTATGATGTGGTTCGGTTTACATCATTATATGCTGTCAAAACGTCCTTATATGATGTGCTTTACCTGTATCTTGGCATTGCACAAGGTCGTGTTTTTCCCTGACTGTTTATGACGTCTTTACACTAAATCCATTGGATGTTGGATGTGTAATGATTGATATTTTAGTCTTAGATGCATGATATATTTTATTAGTTGTTATTGGCTTTGAACTAGCTACAGTCTCTCAGATCTGTACTTAGTGTCTTTTTGTTGTGGGGATGTATAAGTACCCGTACACGTCCACTCTGTGTTTTTGTTAGATGTATTTCTATTTGTATCCATCTGTTGAGTTAAGTCCTTTTCAACTGATTTTTATAGTTTGTTCTTATGCTGTACTGTTACACCACTGTCCCAGGTTAGGGGAGGGTTGGCGCCTTCAAACGAGTTTAACCCCGCCACATTCTGTATGTGCCTGTCCCAAGTCAGGAGCCTGTAATTCAGCGGTTGTCGTTTGTTGCTGTTAAACAAATTTGTTTTTCGTTCATTATTTTGTACATAAATTAGGCCGTTAGTTTTCTCGTTTGAATTGTTTTACATTTGTCATTTCGGGGCCTTTTATAGCTTACAATGCGGTATGGGCTTTGCTCATTTTTGAAGGCCGTACTCAGTGGCAATCATACCACATCTTCCTATTTTTATATTTCATCGTTATTATGGTCAATGACCATGATTACGATTAGAACGATTACTGTCTATGCCATAACTAATTCTAGTCTGCTTCTCCGGAATTACTATAAACCCGGCTCAAAGCTGTAGCTTTCGTTTGTAAAATGGTTTAGATTTTAAAAGAGATAAACCTTGGCATGTTGGTGCCTCATTTTATAGATGAATAATTCACATCTTAATAATTGTTTGAAAATTGTCAAAATATTGATTGCAAAGTTTAGGTTTAATCGATGGGTCTACAATAATGAACATACGGTTAAAGTTATTAAATTATGGGTCCACGACTGTGTATTGAGCACCTGGAGTTCAAATATTTGATCTACCAGAGGATATTCTGCAGGGGAATTCTTCAACTAGCTCCTGTTTTAATGGATCAAAATCTTCCTCCGAAATGTTTGAAACGATGATTTTGTTAAATTGCACTGTCTCATTTTTTCTATCAATTGCACATTCGGAAGCTGATACGAGACTGGAGCTGCTAGATCGAAATAGTAAACTGGCATTAAAAAAACGCAGAATATTCTCTGGCAGATCAAATATTTTGATTGGATAACGCTACAAATTTCATGGCATCAATTCCACGATCGGTGGATGAAATTGCGCACGCTAGCGCAGATGCCGTATGACAGATTTTAAAATGTATAGTTTTATAACATCGTTTTCTTTCATTCACCTTCGGCGGAACACTATTGTATTTGAAGATATGCGGGCATCAATTTGGTATTTGATGATTGCAAATATTCGTTAAATGGCCCTGGTAATGCGTCGCGAGAGAACTCAATTTGCGGGAATGGAATTTTGATTTGATGGATGTAAATATTCGATTACTGGCTCCGGTAACACGTTTATGACCATCAATTTACTGATGCCCACAAATCTTCAAATACAATACATTTTCATAAACATCTAAATAGAACTTGAAAATCTACATTAAAATTGTCTTTAATTATGCTTCAGCTAAACTTTGCTTATTATGTTGGACCTCTAAATTACCTTTTTATATTTATTTTCAAAATTTCATTTTACAGCATAGGTATACAAAAAACAAAGCGAGAAATGACGCTATTTTATCTTTAGAAACGCAGCTTTTTATTATCTAAGGCGAATCGACGCAGCTTTTATTATTTAAGGCGAATCGAGTATGAATAAATATTCATTTTACTAACCACTGAATTTGACCATTTCATTCATGACATTGACAAATTCTGTGTACTTGGCCCTCATTTTTTTCCCCGTTTGGTCACGCCATCCTTTCCATGCTGCAAAAAGTTCATTTGGATTACGGCTGTTCGACATCACATCAGTAAGACCTAAAACATTAGAATTAAATCCCTCAACCTTAAACTGAGTTTATGCAGTATACACATAAAATTAATTTTCAACAGTGTAATTACATTATGTATCGTTGTTGGTTTATTCTTTATGACCCCCGCTCGCCATAGTTTTTATTGCTGGCTTTCAAGCTTATGGTCTGGAGTGCGCCTGGTGAAAGTTATTCCAGAAAAACGTGTTTTGTGCACTGAAATCATATCAATTGACTTTTTATACATGCTCAAAACTGAATTCATTAATATATAAGTGTAGATCAATACCAATGCAATGCTTTTGATAAAGGGTTCCGTCAATAACCTTCATCGGGAGCCATCGATACAAAAGTTTTGAAAGAGTAGAGAATAATGGCCAAAAAAATTAATGAATAGAGAAATATGAGAGAAAAAAATAAAGAATAGAGAATAATGGGATACAAAATAATAAAGAAAAACTGTAAAAAATTAAAGAATTGGGTAATAAAATACTGATTACAGAAATGAACCATGTACAGAATAAAGAATTCATGTAATAAAAAATTAATCAGTAGTAAAATGATTTTCATGAGAATTTTACAGAACAAGCGTTATCTTTAAAGATAAAGAAAATTGCCCCCAAAAATTAAAGAATACAGAAATGAAGAACCCCCATCCAGACCCTCACCTATAGTTGCAAAAATCGACGTCAAATGCATCGCCTGCATGGTATCGATTGTTACAGTGTTCTCGATGGGATTTGATGTTTCTTAATTGTGAAGAAGAAATTATGTTCTTATCAATGAATTACGGAATTAAGGAATTAGGTAACGCTCGTACTTAGTCATGAAGAAGGGAATTACTATTTTCTTACATATAAGTAGAATCGATGAGAACCTCGCAAAATCTTGTTTTCTGGGATTGTGGACAAATTTCCCCTGCAGTTGTTTCTGACTAGTACAAAATAACAAGGTTTTAAGACCTTTCGGAATTCGGAGTCTATATAACACACTTATTCCGCATTTTCTCTTATTGCCTTAGATACTCAGTGCTATATAATTGCTGTTAACGAAAATATTGCAAACTTCAAATTCTGCATAAATGGAAGACAAACTAACAAACTAAATTCAGTTGTATCTTTTAAGCATCTTATGTAAAAGAGAGACGAAAGATTCTAAAGGGACATTCAAACTCATAAGTTGAAAATAAACTGACAACGCTATGGCTAAAAAAGAAAAAGACCAACAGACAAACAATAGTACACAAAACACAAAATAGAAAACAAAAGACTGAGCAACACGAACCCCACAAAAAAACTGGGGGTGATCTCAGGTGCTCCGGAAGTGTAAGCAGATCCTGCTCCACATGTGGCACCCGTCGTGTTTCTCATGTTAGTACAAACCTGGTAATAAGTCTAATTCGGTAGGTTACTTCCAATCTAATTTTGTTTTTGGTTAAGAATGTCCTTCTTGGCAATTTTTGTGAAACTGCTCTCAAATATTTGAAAGTCAAGGATATTTACATATGAATCAGATACTGTGGATTTTCGTAAAGATTTAAGGACTTTTAAAAAAATGCTACTAGTGTGAAATGAATGTAAACAAAATTGATCATACCCTTCTTTTAGCTCAGCTGACACAAAGGGCCAGTGTGAGCTTTTGTCATCACCTGGCGTCCGTCGTCTGTTGTCGTTGTGGTCGTCGTCCGTTTTCCGTTAACTTTTACAAAAATATTCTCCTCTGAAACTACTCAGCCAAAATTAACCAAACTTGGCTACAATCATCATTAGGGTATCTAGTTTAACAAATGTGTCCGATGACCACGCCAACCAACCAACATGGCTGACATGGTTAAAAATAGAACAAGTTACAATGCAAGTTGTGTCTATTATCTTGAAAACCTTTATAGCTAGAAAAAATCTGACAGGGGCAGAAAAGTTCAGAATGATGAGATATACCTACTATTTATAAACTATTTATAAATATCAAAACTATTTTATTTTTTCATTTTTCCTTATTATCTGTAAAACTATATTAAATAGTCTACAGGCCATAATCTTGCCGGCGAAATGACGATTTAAGTCGCCAAAGAATTTTGAAAATCGCTAAATCTCGCCGGCCGACTGACTTCATAGCGAAGTCAAATCGCTATCAAAATCGGTAAAAGGGAGACAACTTGTGATTGACAAGTGTCACAGGTAAAAAAAATGGCGGCTGACAAGGAAAAATCGAGATTTTCGAAACGACCCAGGACTAATACTGTAAACGATCAAATTAAATAAATACAACGGCGACTTTGAACATCCTCGGATATAACTTTCAAAACTGTTCAAACGGAAAACTGACCGTCTGTTTAAGTTATCGTTTTACGATGATTTTCATCTGAGGATGTTACGTAATCACTCAGCTGATTTGTTTTATTTTTAATACCTACACGAGTCGATCAATTTTATTATTCGGTAGGTAAAGGGTGGGAATTAACGGTAGGTATTTTATATTCATTGAATAAAAATTGAAATATAAAAGGTAGAAAGACAGCTGATGGATAATGTGATTGCAAACGTACGACACTCGACCAGATAATTTGTGATCAGCAGTGGATTTTTTCTCATGACCACTTCGTTGATATGGATGATATTTTTAAAAAATGATAGAAATTTTAGCTCTTTATCGGATAATTAACTGGAGATTGAAAGATATTTTCATATATAGACTTAAAATCTTTAACGATAATCTCAATTTACTACAACTAACATAAATGTCCTGGACATTCAATAATGTTTTACAAAACAATGACAAGTGGTGATATAAATTAAATTCCCAGTCATGTGAAATTCATCATATTTTTCTGGAGTTTTAAAAATAAATTGAGGCAGATGCACATGAATTTAATGCATCATAATCTTGATAATATTACTAGGCTACTCCCTCATGTCCCAATCAACAAATTTTATTTAGAACACATTATGGTATCAATAAATAAATAACAACTATATATTGTCTAAACCTTTTTATTAAGAACTTTCTATATATACATTGTGTACAATAACATGAAAAAACTGCAAGTACATCTTTTATTGAATATAAAACAATTTCCTTAGGCTTAGTGATAAGCTTGAAAACACGATGCAACCGAAACGGTAATGGAATCTCGCTTCTCCAAGAAGTTGACCACTTCTCCCTCTTCAAAATCCTAGATTAGGCCCTGATAGATAGAAACTTTAAAAAGCAAAAAAAAAGATCAGCAAGAAAAATAAGTCTTTGAATAAGTCAACATTGCCGAAATCGTCAGCTGAATCCTTATAGGAGTTATTGTCCTTAAATAACCATTTTTACAGTTTTTGAGTGTTATTGTCTATTATTCTGAAACTATTATAGATGTTGAAGATGCACATAGACCACTTAGGTGAGCGAGACAGGCTCTTTAGAGTTTATAGTTTAATTGTTATAGAAGGGATGTAATTAAAACGTTTATTTCGAATCCAAATTAATAAAAAAAACAATCTTTACAATTGATTTAAAAAATCTAAATCCTGAATATGTAATTGTTAGAGTTGTTTAGTTTGTTGCGAATTGTTGCATTCAATTATATACCACCATGAATTTAACACCAGATCGTAAAAAAAGTATGCATTGTTCAATCAATGTAAATAATCAAAACAAAATTTTGCAAGGGTTAGTGCATGACATGTATCAAACGGTAATAAGATAAATGTTCAGATTTAAGTTTTCCTTAGTTAAGTGAGAACTTATAAATAATTTGATGCATACTACGACTTAAGAATTTTATTTAATTAAAGGAATTCTTAGTGAAATCTTAGTTTAAGGAACACTTAAGTTAAGATGTTTGATGCATACCGACCAAGCAGTCTATTACTTGTATTACAATAAAAAGTACTGTTTTATGACAATCGCATAGCTGATTTAATCATGTAATATACCTACCTTTGCGTATAATAATTTGTACGCTGCATTTACAACCGAGAACTTAATAATTGATTAAAAATTCGAAGACAAAAATATTTTTGTAATGTAACAGTTACAAAAAGATGGGATATCAAATTAGCTACCATATAAAAACTAGATTTTTAATCAATCATTTTATTATGAATAAATTATTTATTGTTGTTTGCGTAAAGTATTGTAGAAAACATTTCATTTATATTCTAGAAGGAAAACAATAACAATAAATCCAAGAGGTATTTTTCTGTTAAGTTGGTTGACCGAAATGAAGGGCAGAAAATTTCCTGCCACTGGTATATACTGGATAAGGCAGACATTTTCAAGCGGCTTTGCAACATAATGTTACTGAAGTAAAAACATAATTACCTGGTTCTAGTTCCAAACAACCTTTTCCAAAATCTGTAAGGCAAACTTTTCCTGTACTATAGATACTAGTTAATTCTGCCTCTAGGTTCGATTTCTAGGGAAAATTAAGTAAATGGGATAAACTGAAAACGAGCAGCAACAAAACAAAAACAAACAAACAAATTTTCTCAAGTTTTTCTTCAGTTTAATTTGTTTTTAATCTCTTAAAAGAAAAAAAAAAAACAGAATGCAGAAGGCATTAAATTTCAGATTTTCAAACGGTACGTTTCTAGATATAATGTAATGCAATATTTAGAAATGAAGTATAATCAACTCCTTACCGCAAACGGGAAGACCGTATAACAGGCATGAAATAACAAAAAGGGGGAGGTAAATGTTCCAGGCCATCACAAAAGGTAGGTGCGTTACTTTTGAAGTGATCTATTTGGCCTCGAATATCAAGTCCATTATTCTAAAAATAACAAACATGTGAGAAATTGAAATAGAACGATTTTTTGAGAACTTTGCTAACGAAATGCAAATGTACTAGTATTATATTAATAAGACCTGACTTGAATAATAGACCAATGGCCAGGCATGCTTTTGATGTCTTATTTCTGTGTTGCATTTGGCAATATCTTCTTATCATTGCCGAAAAGATTTTGTATACGCAACACATATTTTAAACTCGGGATCAAATATCGTGTTTTGTTATATCTTCAGAAACGTCAACGTATTTGATGCGAGTGGATACGTTTTAAATTGACCGACCTTCAATTGGACTATATTTTCTTATTTATTTGAGCATTTTGCATTATTCACGTATTTGCTGGCGTATCCGTATCGACGTTTCGTATAAAACGTACATGAGGAAAGGATAAATTAAGTCAAGTTGGTCCCGATGGAGATATGTTATAATGCATTTAATTTTAATCTAGTTTTAATTGAGGTCGGGGCTAAATCATTATTTTATACAAATCTGCCCGATACGTATACGTCGATCCGTGCACATATCCAGATACGTGAATAATGCAAATGCTCTATTTACAGGTAAACTGATGTCTAATCACTGACCACCAGTTGTCATTCATTGCATGCAAAAAATGCTGTTGTTATAGTAATTTAACAAAACCTTTATCGATTATTTTCTGAAAATACACAAATCCCAATTGGATTTCTATTTCGGAAGTACAATGTATGTTCATAAACCTGATTGCAGTTTAACAGTTGAATTTACGGGACAGATTTCTATGTAAGTGAACTGGGGATGTGAGGGGGTAGTTGGTTGGTGAGATGAAAGAAAAATAACACGTAGACCATGTTCTGTGGGGAACAAAATACCAGAAAAATAGAAAAAATACAAGAACGAGCGCTTCGCTTTATTTATGAAGATCATCAGAATTCATACGAAACACTCCTGCAAATTTCAAACATTCCATCACTAAAAACTCGTAGGATGCGCTCAATTGCCTTGGAGACCTTTAAAATAATTAATAAAAAATGTCCATTATTTATTCAAGATCTAGTTGTTATAAAAAACGATCCATATAATTTCAGGTATGTGAACACTGCTGAGGTACCAAGACCTAGAACCTCAAGTTATGGTAAAAGATCCTTTAGATTTGAGGCAGCACAAATATGGAACTCCCTTCCCAATGAGGCTAGAATTATGACCTCTTTTGACCAATTTAGGAATTATATAAATTCCTGGTGTGGGGGTCAAAAATGCAACCCGTTTCCATCCAGTGCTGTCTCAAAGCTGAAATTTCTTTCTTTCTTTTTATTTTTTATTATGGCCTTTTGCTCTGCTTTTTCTCTGCTTTTTTATGCATTCATTATATATACCTGCTATTAAATGCCAGTGCTTAATAATTTATTTATTTATTGCTTTTATGCTTTTTAGTTTGTTAGTATTTTAAGATATTTAAGCGATTTGCTGGTTCCCCCATTCAATGCACATAGAGGTGCTTGCCGCATGAGCTTTGACTCTGGAGGCTCAGAAATCAAAATTAATTTGCTTTCATTATATTTGCATGCTTTTTCATTTTTATTTATTAGTATTTGCATGATGCTGCATGACTTTTATGTGATAGTCGGTTAAAGAGCTCACCAGAGCTCATGTTTTGTCTGTTATTATGTATATATATGCCGACTCTAAATTAAATTTACTTACTACTTACTTACTTAGCTGCAGTTTAAAGTTATAATAAGTTAATTTGTTGATGAAAACATTTCAGGGACCTTGACCCCCATAAAAATGTAACCGTACTATTTCGACCAAAATCTTCCAGTTACAACGTGTCGCGACTAACATTTTGGGTAGTTTTTTTTCGATATCCATTATGGTTTCTTAGGAGTACAGTTGAGATCACTTCTAACCTCTCATTAGAACTGTCAGAATAATCTGTCATAGAACTGTTCTAAACTGTCCTAGAACAGTTCTACCTAGAACAGTTCTACCCTAGAACTGTTCTAAGTAGAACTGTCAGAATCAGTTCTAGGTAGAACTGACCAAATCAGTTCTAGGTAGAACTGTCAGGATCAATTCTAGGGTAGAACTGTCAGGATCAGTTCTAGGGTAGAACTGTCTTAAAACTGTTCTAGGTAGAACTGTCCAAATCAGTTCTAGTCGTAGAACTGTCAGCAGAACTGACCAAATCAGTTCTAACCGTAGAACTGTCAGCTGAACTGACTAAATCAGTTCTAACCGTAGAACTGTCAGCAGAACTATCTAAAACTGTTCTAGCCGTAGAACTGACGAAACCTGTCAGGATTGTAGAACAGTTCTAAATGACGGTTATGGACATTTTCTGTAACGAGAAATGTTAAAACAGTGCTGTGATGAGAATTTTTTAATATATATTATATTCTTTTGACTTATTTATATTTAAGACAAAGAGTTCTTAAAACTGTTCTATGGATAGAACTGACGAAATCAATTTTAGCCGTAGAACTGACCAAATCAGTTCTAATCGTAGAACTGTTCTAGTCGTAGAACTGTTCTTGCCGTAGAACTGTTCTAGCCGTAGAACTGACCAAAGATTTGGTCAGTTCTAGGTGGAACTGTCTAAAACTGTTCTAGGGTAGAACAGTTCTACGGCAGTTCTAGGTAGAACTGTCTAAATCAGTTCTAGGTAGAACTGACCAAATCAGTTCTAGGTTAGAACTGTTCTAGCTAGAACTGTCTAAATGGTGTCAGGATGACAGTTCTACATACTGTCCTAGAACAGTTCTCCTGACAGATTCTGACAGATTTGATGAGAGGTTAGAAGTGATCTCCACTGTAGGTATATAAAGAAATTTCCTTATTCAGAACATGCCTTTGACCTTGGTCTCATTTTTATTGTCGTGGAATCAGGACCTCAAATCAAAAGAACCTAGGTAACTATCATTTATGGTTTACCAGTTACAACTGCATACCACTTATATATCAAATACATTGAGGGAAATAACTCTCATATGGAGTTTCCGGATCGCTTCGGTCAAAATTATTTGGAAAATCCAGAGGATATTTTGAGCAATTTGGAAAAAAAATTGTCGGTTTCTTATACATTTGCGAAGGAGTAAAGCTAACAAGAAAAACAGTGTTCGGGGAGATTACTCTTACAAAGATAATTAGATATTAGAAGATCTGGTATGAGTGCCAATGAGACAACTCTCCATCCAAGTCAAAATTTTTAAAAGTAAACCATTATAGGTTAAAGTACGGTCTTCAACACGGAGCCTTGGCTCACATCGAACAGCAAGCTATAAAGGGCCTCAAAAATTACTAGTGTAAAACCATTCAAACGGGGAAACCAACGGTCTAATCTATATAAAAAACGAGAAACGAGAAACACTTATGAACCACATCAACAAACGACAACTACTGAACATCAGATTCAAGCAGGGTCAAATTTAAAAGCGCACAAACTGGACGATATCACAAGTCATACCAAATATCTAAGCGATAAGTGACATGTTGCGAAATAAAAATTACACGCAAGAGTAAAGTTTGACGGAAGAAGGAAAAAAATAATCAGAAGAAAATCTCAAGGGTTTTCTACAGTAAAGTACAGTAAAAAAACTATAACAATCATGAGACAATGCAGTACGGTCTTTCAAACTACCAACGGAACTATTTAACATTGAATTGGAAGTTTTTTTTACATTCAGCAATATCAGAATCATTACCTTAAAATGTGGAAATAACCTATTTCTTTTCAGAATTGGATAAAAATGCAAGTATTGATTCTGAAAGTCAAAACCTGAAGAGTATTAGAAAGTATCAGAACTAATGTCTTCAATATGGGTCAATATATTTAGTTTAAAAACAAAATTCTATCCGCCATTATATTAGTAAAATTGAGAATGGAAATGGGGAATGTGTCAAAGAGACAACAACCCGACCATAGAGCAGACAACAGCCGAAGGCCACCAATGGGTCTTCAATGCAGAGAGAAACTCCCGCACCCGGAGGCGTCCTTCAGCTGGCCCCTAAACAAATATGTATACTAGTTCAGTGATAATGGACGTCATACTAAACTCCAAATTATACACAGGAAACTAAAATTAAAAATGATACAAGACTAACAAAGGCCAGAGGCTCCTGACTTGGGACAGGCGCAAAAATGCGGCGGAGTTAAACATGTTTCTTGAGATCTCAACCCTCCCCCTATACCTCTAGCCAATGTAGAAAAAACAAACGCACAACAGTACGCACAGTAAAACAAGTATAAGAGAAGTCCGAGTCCGATGTCAGAATAGGAAACAAAAGAAAATAAACAAAATGACAATAATACATAAATAACAACAGACTACTAGCAGTTACTGACATGCCAGCTCCAGACCTCAATTAAACTGATTGAAAGATTATGTCTTCATCATATGAATATCAGGCACAATCCCTCCTGTTAGGGGTTTAGTATTATACCGTCATAAAATATATGAGAAGAACATAAGCCGTGTCATGCCAACAACTGGTTTTAGAATAAATGTGTTTAATTCCGATGCAAAGACCCTATAAGTGAATCAATATTAAAGCCAAAATATGCAATCTTTAATGACCTGACAACAGTATCGTAACTATATCCCTTCTTAATAAGTCTTTTTAAAGGTTTTGTTAGCTTTTGAGGTGAATACTGACATTTTTATGCTTTGTAAAGAATATTACCATAAAATATTGGATGTGAAATACCCGAACGTATAAGATGTCTGCATGTTGAGTTATATTTACGAATGATGTCCTCATACCGATGATAAAATCTAATAAATGTTTTGACTAGTTTATGATATCGAAAACCCTGGTGTTATAATTTTTAGGTAATACATAAATTTCTCTCGCTAAAATCTAATACGTTGTTACACACACGAGAGAATCGTACAGGTTGAGATATATGAACACCATAAGATGATGACAAGGGAACGTCACCATCTAAAAATGGATAATTAACGATAGGAAATGAAAAATCATCTCTTTTATCATAAATTTTTGTATTAAGCTTCCCGTTAATGATATAGATATCAAGATCGAGGAAAGGACAGTGGTCATTGTTAGTATTAGCTTTATTTAAAGTAAGTTCAACAGGATAAATTTCTTTAGTATACATACTGAAGTCGTCATTATTGAGAGCCAATATATCATCCAAATATCTAAAAGTATTGTTATATGTATGTCTGATATTTTGTATCAGATGTTGTTTCGATGGGTCTTTGCTGATTTTAGTCATAAATTGTAACTCATAACAATACAAAAACAGATCCGCAATAAGTGGTGCACAGTTAGTCCCCATTGGAATTCCGATAACTTGACGATATACGGAATCTCCAAAGCGAACAAAAATGTTATCAAGTAAAAATTCAAGGGCAGATATAGTATCAAAGCATGTCCAATTTGACATAGTTCTTTTGTTTGTTGCTACTAAAAAATGACCTAAAAGAGTTTGAACATATGTATTCGCATTCCGACTTTTTAAATGCCCATTTAATTAGGTGTGTGAATTTTTTCTTAATAAGAATATGAGGCAAAGTGGTCTATAGGGTAGAAAAATCGAACTTTGAACAGTTTCAAAATCACCAATATATGCATGCAATTTATCAAGTACTTCCAACGAGTTTTTGACACTCCAAAAGTAATTAATTCCACTATTTTCAAAGGCCTTATTTGAACAATTCATTATCAGGTTTTTGATTGTACCAAGTGTACTAGTAAGTAGAATAGACAATTTAGTAGTGGAACAATGACTTGAAGACGAAATAAATCTATATTTGTAAGGTGATTTGTGTAGCTTCGGAAGCCAGTACATAGTTGGGACTTTCATTGTATTTGGTTCTGCTTGTAAAGAAGTAGCTAATAGTTTATGTTTGTTACAGATATCGTTTTCTGGAAATGAAGTCAGTTGGAATGTTGGTGAATTCGTGATTTCCTTTTGCAGAACCTCAATGTAAAATTTACGTCAAACTATAATGATATTATTAGCAGCTTTATCAGCCGGGACAAAAACAAATTCCTTGGCTAGTTCTTTTAGTTTATGTTTGATACGAGAAATAGGATTTTTATGGTTGTTGTTAAGAGTAAAATGTTCTTTAAAATGTTGTATACGTATATCAACTATCTTCATTACTGAATTAAAAAAAGAGTCCAAAGATTTTTTGTCAGCTTTTTCCCGTTTTATCCATTTCAAACAGTAAGCACGAAGTGAGTTGTGGATGATATTACGACAATCATTCCAATTAATAATTGACGGGTGGCGATATTTTGGTCCTTTACTGAGGAATGATTTTAACTCTCGGTCGAGAACGATGTTAAGGTCTCCTGTTATAACATGGGAAATGGGGCCATAAGTGTATTCGGAATTACTACAATTACATTACGTAGGTGTATTTTCACTGATATTTACATCTTTACAGACTTGGCTATAATTAAACACAAATTTCCGGGTAGATTTCTTGTAAATATAACAAATAAGAGGGAGTTCAGTATTATCAAAATATCCAGGAATTTGTTCTTTAACAGAATGGTCGTTAAAAATACCGGCAATATTTACAAAATCAAAACCTTTATTGATATAATTTATTTTAATAAAATGTTTTTTATGATATGTTGATATTTAATTAATAAAACGAACTGCTCCTTTGCTTTTTGTGTGTTTTTTTTTTGCTGTGCATGTACTGATTTTGTGTCATGGATGGATACCCAACATCTTTTGTTTTTCTATCAATCATTTGTGCTGGACAGAGGACAATAAAACAAATATGTCAAAATTATGGAAATGGTTAATGTTAACAAAGAATTGAACTTTCGTGTAATTTCTTTGTGTGAAAAAAAAATCACGCCAAGAAGCCAAATCAACAAAAGGGTTTTCAGGCTTCGCCAAGACACGAAAAATCTAATCACATATTGTACTCTCAAATATAATCACATATGCGAAAATGTCTCAGCTTCGAAATGAGTCATCAAATCTAAGTTAACGACATCTACAAAGGAATTAAAAAAATATTTTTGAACGCCTCCTGAAATAAAATACGCATACTAACCAAGTACCACACATTGTTCACATAGGAATACTATGACATACTTTTCAATTGGAAAGGCAAAGAAATTTTTACAATGAAAATCCCGTATTTTCAACTTAACTTTATGTACAAGCTAAATTCATATCACATTCAATTTTTATCACCATGATTAAGCGCTAGATATTTCCGCTGGGTTTAACTACATACCAATTCTATCTTAGCTGTATCATTGACAGCAGAAAAACCAAGCTGTGTAATCTTTTCGAACTGTCTTTTCTCTGTTGCATTCAGTTCACTTTTCTTCCAGTCGAATAGGTTGGCTTTTGCTGCCAATGCTTTAGTAAAATTGGCCATTTTTAAATCAGACTCCGTCTGAAATTGAATAAATAAGGCGATGATAATAATCAAAATGATAGAATGAAATATTTTTTTAGTGACGAACATAAACCATCCGGTCGTCGATAGTTTAGATAAGACTATTCTCATATTAAATTAACATCAACTTTCTAAATTAAAGTCAAATAAAACGAGTTTCTGGTAATTATTATGTTGCGGAAATTATTGAGGCCCCTCATGGGGGTGTCCAAGTAATCACATAATCACAATTTTTTTGCCAATATAATCACATAATCATTAACTATTTTTTTTAAACAAGATAATCAAATAATCAAAAATACAGTCCTAGATTATCAAATAATCAAATAATCATGAAATATTTGGTCTGGTAATCAAATAATCACTATAAAAACGGCCATGTAATCACATAATCAAAAACCCCATGAGGAGGCTCATTATTGAACCAAAGCATGCATATATATTAAACTAAGTCCTCTGCGCACGTTTTTTAAACATTTATTACGAATCCACACAGTATAATAGACAAAATTATTTTCTAATCATGGATTGTGACTCGAAAATTTTACCTGCAAACAACTTTCGGGTTTTTGTTCCGAAGTTTACCTTTTGATTAACAATCAACACAGAATCATGGAACACGTGGGAAATAAGTGAGACGATAGAGCTATATATATTTGTTTTTTTATGTTTTCCATGCGTATCCGTTTGTTAATTCAACTTTCTTATAACAGTTTCTAAATGGTTTGGTGTATCAAATTTGTTAATTTCAAAATCGGTTACTACTATCTTCTTTCCACGTCTGTTTACCTTTTCTTTCATCACGGTTTTCCCATCGCAATTGCACTGTGCTATTGCCGAAGGTCTAACGAAAGGTGTCATGGTTAACGTCACAGCATTTGGAAAAACTGTCGGCGAATTAGAGTACGGGAAGACAACAATTCAAAATCCGTACAGTTCTGAAGATTTTGATAAGAAAGTCTATGTACACGTTTTTTTTTTATAGTAATACTTAGCCAATCAAGTATATAAAGCATTTTCAACTTTTGTATAAAGTTTGAAGCATCATAAGACTTGAAAGATATGGAAGCAGACTGAGTGACACATAATAACGCATCCAGATTGTACGCGTTTTTTTCGCAGCGTTTCCTAAATCCGCGGGCAATATAAAAATGATGAGGTATGATTGCAAATGAGACAACTCTCCACAAGAGACAAAATGACACAGAAATTTACAACTAAAGGTCACCGTACGGCCTTCAACAATGAGCAAAGCCCATACCGCATAGTAAGCTATAAAAGGCCCCGAAATGACAAATGTCAAACAATTCAAACAAGAAAGCTAACGGCCTAATTTATGTGGAAAATAATGAACGAAAAACAAATATGTTACACAGCAACAAACGACAACCAATGAATTACGTCATTTAATCAGTTACGTGAATTTAAAAGTATTTGAACAGGATATAACGTATTGTTTATTTAAGCGCACAGAATCTACTGCAGGCATACAATTCATGGAAAATTCAATGCAAAGACTGTACTTTGGGTTTTGCACAATAATAAATAAGTCCCAATTTGTAACAGTAACTCGTACAAAGTTTTGATGTAAAGCGGGAATAGCTGCACGACGCGACGTTGCATTAAGAAAACACTGCGACGTAATTTTGCGTTAAAATGGGAAATGGGATCTTTATCATTTGAAAAACAAGGCTTTCTGGTTTACAGTAAACACATAGACCCAAATTTGATTTGTTTGCAGTCGATTGTTTACCGCTTCAACAATATTATATCAAAATTGCTAGAAAAAAGTCAACAGTAGATTTGTTTTCTGTTTGCATTTGTAGTGGCCTGAAAATCATCTACAACTTTCTTTTACTAGTAATTAAATAATGATTCAACAAATATATTATCGCATTATTTCTTAATAAAGGCCTATAATACATTTGTTCATATTAAATGACTTGATGCAGAACTGTTAATTCTACTTTTTCAAACATTTGAAAAATAAAATTCATGCTTATACAAAAAAATAGTTTAACTTTTTGATGATGCATCAATTGGAATTGACCGTGTGCAAACTACCTCTCATGATATATTGTTATAATGCTCAATTTTACATGCATTGTATTTATTACATGCTAAAAATGTGCTCTATCCTAGCCCATCGTTATTAATCTTCGTCTCTGGAAGAGTGAATGTTGTTACAGGGTTGCATCGCTCTGTTTTTGTCTATATAAAACACATTACTATTTTCACATAAAATTAGCACTTATGATTTTTTAACACTATCACAATGAATTATAGCTAAAACATTGACTAGGAAACACGCCTTTTATTGTTGAAAATTTGCGAATTAGATGTCACAAATAGCACTAATTTTGTTTTTTTCACGAAAATTCGATACAATCTACTAGTATCCAGATTAGTATTAGGAATATCATGGATTGTACTACTTGAATCATAATAAAGACATACATTTGTAATAAACCAATACGAATGGATTCGATTAACTTAGTAATGAAATAAACTTATAATCAATACTTGTCCGATATTATACAATGAAGGCCTATGTCCGAGAAAGATATAATTCTTTTGCTCAATATATTCTCGTAAACTTCTTTTGCTTGACATACCTTTGACAAGAACAAGACATGTCTCGAATCGCAAAAGAAGATACACAAGCCACTGTCTATCATCCGCAGATATCTTTTCACCATCTTCAAGATAACACTCTCAATAAAAGACGATAAGCGACCCATCTTGTCGAATGCTATTTATACACTGGCTCATGAAAAAAACGCCTGAGATCGGAGTACATAATACAATACTTCACATAAAGTCCCTATCGAGGAGGCAGTGGTGTAGCTTGATCTCTGTTATTACCGAAGCGGGGGTCATGGGGCTGCGCCCCCAGACGCATATAGAGGATTTGCAATTTGAACAAGAAGAATCTATTAGAAATGATAGTGGTTGTTTAAATCTTTTTCATCATACTAATGTTAATATGCCTTACACTAAGTCATTCTACAGATTTATTAGTTGATAACTGGTACATAATATAATCGGAAGAAAAGTGACGTTAGGAACTTTTCCAATAATTCAAAAAGTGCTTTATATGAACATTAATGAGTGTCGTTTTAAATTGAATATTTCTTGTTTTAAATGTGTCTTTATTCTTAAATATAAAGTGTCTTTATATCAAATACCCAAATAGATTATAGATTTTAAATAATTACAACTTAATCCGATGGCAGTTAAAAGTGCGAAAGATAATACATGTATCTTACTCTCTACTACAAAAGAAGCAATTATCGCTATTTTACCAAGTGGCGGTCAGTTTATAATAGTGGAGGGAGCCGGAGTTTCCGGAGAACTACCTGCATACGGCAGCAAAACTGGCAGTCCTAGTCAATTAGGATCGGAGTTGAACGCACTTGCAATGTGCGGGGTTCAAACTCACTACCTCAGTGTTGACAAGCGAGTAATGCAGTAAATGAACTACTTAGAGCACACTGTCACCGAGGCCCGAAGTGCTTGTGAAGGAGATGCATCAGACAAAGCAGACATCCGAGCAAAGAAATTTTGTCATCGTCTAGACAATCAAGTTAAAAATTAAGACATCTTCGAAGTACGAAACCTATTTTGTGGCTTCTCAGATCACAACAAAAATAGAAGATATTCCAGGGATACTTCCAGATCCAATGCCGTTCTTCCCCAGCCTGGTAAGTTAGCCGATCAATTTTCCATCGAACAAGCAACTGACACAGTCATTTGAACCCAGGGTCATCAGTGTATCTTCAACTGAGTATGACAACTCGCGCCGACAAGACGTTTGGTTTAAGAACTTTATCGGGAACGCACCCATTACATTTGAAGGATACGATACATTACGATTTGAAGATGATGCGATAGATAAGAACACCGATACTTTTGAAACTCATGATCAAGAAAAGACCTGAAAAGACTAAAGCAAGAACGAGTTATACGTGGATAGAAATCGTGTCCCATACCTATAGCCTAGCCAAGCAAGTGTTTGTGTCCCCAATCTGATGCTTAATCCATTTAATATGTGCGATGCTGCGTTCAAGACCAGGAACACTAGAGTTCGCATAGATATCATATCTACCCTCTATGCCATGAAACACCTGCGTAAATATGAAATAAATTCTACAAAAATGCACATCGTAGCATCCTTTGAAATAAACCATGTAACAAACTAAGAAAGGGTTATTGCAGGAAGTACATTCATGGTGACAAAGGTCTTTTTGACAAAGTTTACCCGGTAGAGTATTTTCTTCTAAAACGTTGGTGAGTGAAGCAGAGAGTGGAGCCACCAGTACAGCCCTAAATTGGACAGAGAAGAGAGCAAACAAATCCGTTTATCATGTCGTCAAAATAGTTGCCTCATCCAAGAATCCCCAGTTACCTAATATACATGATGTAAAGCAACGCAACAATCCCTCCACGGAATTTTTAATCATCGACACAAAACATTCAATTGCATCATCTCAGATGGTCCTACTAGGATGCCGGTAGTGACATTTCAACAATACACAGCATCGTCAACTTCCATATATAAATGGAAATAAAAAACATTTAACTGAAATACTAAGTTAATGAATACATACATCTACCAGTTGAACACAAAATCTTACCCACCCAGCGACAGATACAAAAGATAAACCCATGTTGAAAAGATGAAAAGAAGGCATAGTCTTGGAGCTCAGTGTGAAACTGATGAAGCTTAACATGCAAAAGGAAGGAAGATTTTTGTCCGTTTTGGTAGGTATTGCTTCTGTCGCTATTTGCATGGTCCCAAACACTGTACAACCAGATTTGGGCGTTGGCGCATTGAGTGGATTCGGGAGCCTCGTCATCAATGAGGTCATCTGAACTGGTTTATACCTCAACCGCAAAGTCGGTGTTTGTTGTGTGAAGGATCGTAGTTAAGGTTTGTTACTCACCAAGGTAGATTACCTTATAACTATGGAAACGATATATGATAGAAACGTGATACGCAATTCCATGATATTCTGAGTATGTTTATCGGACTTATAAGCCCTTTCAAGAACATTCCTTTCCCTTCTTAGCTTTAAATAAATGGATGAAGGTAAATCTGGAAGGCAATTGAACCGATAATCTATGATCAAATCTTCCAAACACTCGGAGATGAATAAATAACACTACAATATATAATATATAATCTAATAACGCGGTATTGGTTTTGCTCATTGTTGAACGTTATCGTACGGTGACCTATAGTTGTTAACTTCTATGTCATTTGGTCTCTGGATGAGAGTTGTCTCATTGGCAATCCTACCATATCTTATTTTTATAATAATAGTGTTGAGAATATATAAAAGACTAGCCACGGTAGTTTCCATTATACTGGGAACCTTTTCTTTTCATCATCAGCTGTGTACCACTAGGTACCACCGCAGCAGAAATAGGTGCTGTCGCATGTATCCCATTGTATTCATTTGTAACCTATCGAAATTAATCAAGATTGGATTTAAATCAAACAAACAATTGATTGGTGTTTGCTTTACGTCGCCTCAGCACAAAAATGCTATATCGGGACTAGCAAACAAACATAAAAAAGACAACAAATCACAACATAACTACACAACAGGTTTAATACAAAAATCAACCAAAAAAACCTTATGAAGGAGGCCCAAAATTAAAAAAATTAGTTTATGACGATCTGATGACATAGTCAATACTCCGCACGATGCTTTTAATAATTTTTAAAAGTGTAGTTGCAATCATTTTTAACCAACATTGATGGTTCAAAAGCCGAGGTGTAAAAACATGTTTCCAATCATCATGTAACTTTATAATACTGACGTTTCATGTCGAACCTGCATGTTACTCATTCCAGTGGTAGTGTTATGTAAATTAAGTGAACAGCTGAATACATGAATTTGACGAAAAGCTGAATATGAAAATTTGACAAAAACCGAAACCATACTTTATTTTCTTCACATTTTACGATGATTTTAACGTTACACCATCTTACCATTTTCGCCTGGTTTTCCTTAGTGATATTTGTGTAGTAATTCCAAGCTATTGTAACAGCTTCATTGTTAGCGTTTGCCGCTTCTGTATTGTAGTTTTCCAGAAATTTCCTCATATCAGTCACGTTCGTCACAAGAACACATTGGCATATTCTCATGATGGATAAGAAAAGCACCAATCGGAATTGACTCATTCTGAAAAAAAACCCCAGGATTTAACATATTTTTCAAAACTTGTTCGTCTTTATATTGGTATTTGCTGAGAATAGATATAGGAAGATGTGGTATGAGTGCCAATGAGAAGTCTTTAAAATAAATACTCGATACAGAGTTATTCCGCTCAATACTGAAAAAGAGAACTATTGTAATTATCATATACGTTAACATACATTATGAATAACTGTATATTTTTCTTTGATTCTTGTCCGATTTATATATACTTTTCCAGAACTGTTGATTTCCTTTATATCTATTGTGAGCTGTGCTTGATGTCACTTTTTCATTAGGAAGTAAGATTTTCTTGTTTTTCTCTGATTTTGAAAAGGTGTCACATATAAAATATCTCTTTTTGTTTGCAAATCATTGAAAGTGAAAAAAATAAAGTCTTCCTACATATCATCTAAAAAAAACATAAGAGCAAAAAGATTCAATCATTCGTATCTCATGTGATCCGATATTTCCACCCTCGCGACAATTTGAAATATTTGAAGAAAAAAAACTCGAGATGAGAAGTATTGTACCACACTCGATGTAGGTGTTATAATTATTGTTAATTTAAAAGTGTTTTTGCGTATAAAATATTACCGAATAATGGATCAAAACAACTTCCAAACATATGTATTTTTCTAAGCGTTTATGTTAATCCTTCAACAGTTTTGTATTAAATTGAAGGCTATAAGTAGCCTTTATATCTCACCTGGAAATAAACAAATGCCAATAATTGGCGCTCTCCAACCGTATTAAACCTATCCCTTCTCTTCACGTTTGGAACAACACGTTTTTCAGATATTTTTCAAATGAAATTTAAATCATGAAGGTATTATTTAACTAAGTTGTGTAACAATTAGTCATTTGAATCATGTTTCCTTTCTATGGGGTCAAATTTTCTATTTAAAGTACCATAAGAATCTGACTTTTCTTATTCCAACCGACTGTCTTTAAAGATTAATTCAACTGATTGTAAAGCTTTAATATCATTTTTTCTAAATCTACGGAGAAAGTTACTTTTGGTATGATAAATTTAGATATTGCCCATTTATTGCCAAAAAAGTGCTCTTCCAACTTGGATGAAAATAGCACATTGAGGTCAAATGATAGTAAAAATGTGTTTTCATCAGGAAGCACGCCACTAATTACTGGTGTCAATGCGTTCTTTGTTAATTTTTTAATTTCAAACATCCATAGCTCAAATTAAGTGAAAGCAATTGAATATTAAAGCACTACATTAAATTGTCTTGAGATGAAAAATCAACATACGTTTAATTGCATATAAGATCTTACAGAATCCCAGAACATAGGAAGTACCAAAAACAGGTACTTCAGATTGCAGAAACCGACAAACTATACCATCTGTTTTAAATTTTATGCAATTGTTTTATTATTCAAATTTATCAGACAACAAGTGTTTGAAAATGGTCACCAGTAATTTAGCTTTCATTTGATACCAAAAACAACCAAAATATTATTCATATTTTGTAAGTTAAGCCTACGCGTAGGACATGTTTTGTTTAAGATATGTTCTACTTTCTACTACATTTTATATTCTCTCTGACCATGCCCGAATTAGTGGTGTTACGCCACCACCACTTTAATTGACCAAACACAAGTTACACAACATTGTCTCATATTTTATGTATGCCTCCAATTAAGAACTTCAATACACCTTTCATCTTTGTAAACTGATAAATTCCTTCAAAAACGAAAAGTGAGACGTAGTTTTGTAGAAGAATCTCTTTAATCATATATATCTAAGCAAAGTAAAATAAACGGTAACCATAAAGTTTCTATTTTCAATTTTATCTCCTCAAAAGTGAATTCCCACCTTTGAACCCCCTTTAAATGCAATATAAATATAAAGATGTCAATATGAACCCCCGGAGAAGTGTTCTGACACTTTCATATTATGAATAAAAGACAACAGTTTGGGTCTTTTATACACTTAGATTATACATTTTGCATTCCTTAACAACTCTTGTGTGGGCGTTTAGCGGGAGTTCGACGTCACAGATTTTAACAATATGTATAATGTAGTTACCAAATATAGACAAAGCTCCGCCTTTATCCAGGCAGTAGAAGATAAGAGAACAAAAGTAGTGACCAGCTGCATATAATTTTTAATATCATTCTCACAGTGAAAAAAAAAAAATTCTCATTCATATAAAAAAGACATATTTTGTGAAAGAAACTTAAAAATATTCAAAGAAAGATATTTCTATTTAAGGACAAATCAAGACAATCTCCTTCTGAAAATAGACTCTCTCACATGATTTAATTGAAAAATATCACATAAACATAAAAAGTACTAGTATTAAAATGCCTAAAGTTCATCACAGAAGACACCCCCATTACTTAATAGTAAAAGACCAAAGTGAAAAATGCTTACAGGTTTCTGTTTACCTCCATGTTTATAGCATGGAATTATACTATTGACAATATAAAACTTCCTTATTTATATGAATTACTTTTGATTGAGGTGATTTTAGATGCATTTTGTGGTGGTTGGTTGGTCTACTTTAAACAAACTGATGGAACATAAAAGAAGGGAAACAAAGCTGCAACCAAAAAGAAAACGTGTTCAAAGTAAAACTGAATGTGGTGCGTTTGATTCCTTCGCCATGTTCACTATGCCAATTCAATTACAAACTCGAACGTAATCAATGCATCACTGGTAAATTATTAAGTCAGGGATTTCGTTACCATAAATTACTTAAAACTTTTACTAAATTCTTTCATAGATACAAAGATTTGATTAGTAAATTTGTCTGTACTTGTAGAAAACTTATTAAAAATGGTATTTCACATCCTAAATTTTATGGTAATATTGTACTTAAAGCGCGTAAATCATTATGTGATTCGTGTAAACTCATCGAACCTTTAAACAAACTTATTAGTAAGGGTTATCGTACCAATGTTGTAATTAGATCTCTGAATATAGTTTACATTGGCACTAATATCGATTTTGTCATTAGCAAATTAAAACATAACTACATATGTATTTTCTTTTCAAACGGGATGTAAAGAGACACACACACGTTCATTTTTATCTATAAAGAAGTCACTCCTAACTATCCTACTACCTGTCGATACATTTATTTTTGGCATTGCACAAGTCATGTTTTCTTTGACTGTTCATGACGTTAAAATACTAAATCCCTGGGATGTATTTTAGTTGATTTTAGTCTCTGATGCATGACATATTCAACTAAGAAAGACATCACGTGACTTTAGTGACGTAGCAAAGTCGCCATTTTGTTTCATTTTGTCCCATATAAATTGCATAGGTGCTTCAATGAAGTTCAATTTTCTCATTAATCTGACCCGTTTTCTCACTTTTGCAACTATCTCCCTGGTGTTCGAACACAATTTTATCTAAAAATGTTGGTTCTGACAGTTTAATTTTTGATTAAATTACGTCCCTGGAGATTCGTAAAAATCGTACTTTTTCTCGTCATTTCCCCGTTGACTCAACGTTAAATCTAGCGACCCCATGTCTACTTGTTCATCAAATTCACAAATTCCGTAAATAAAAGTAATACTTTGCAACTCGATTGAGAATATTAAAACATATATCTGGCGAAATATTCTACTTAAAACAGTTTAATTTTAGGGCAAATTACGTCCCACATCGATTTAAAGAGTGACTTTTCGGGATTTTCCAAAATGGCGGATGTGTTTGGAAGTGTCGCATGTATTTTTAATCATCGTGTATTTTTCATGCAGAATCTGTGTTCTTTCTGTTTTTTTTTCTTTGTTGATATTTTGATATGTTTGATTCAAAATTTCTTGATAAAAATACATTATTTCAAGTGTGAAGTGAAAAAAATAGCAGGAACATATATTTTGACAGATGTTCTGTTCCTTAGATATACTTTTCCCAGAAAATAGTTAACACGGAAATTTATAATAAAATTATTTCTCTTTTTTTTTAATGTTTTTCCCCATTTTTCTGTATAATATATCTTTATTTCGAAAAAATATGTATTCTTTTTAGAAAGAAAATGGTTTCGTTTCGAGAGAAAAAAATAATGCCCAACAATAGATAAATGCTCTGTACCTTTTAAAGTTAATGTCCCTTGACGAGGTGAACTCGGCTGGGATCTAGGTTATAATGTTACATAACAACAAATTGTCAGGTAATGTAAAGGAATCGTGTCAAACCAAGAGCCACCAGGTGACATTAATATCCTGTGTAAACTTGTATTTCCAGAGTTTAGATTTTGTGATATACAAAAGTTTTCTGAAATGTACAAATACATAGTTTCTTTTCTTTCCCGTGTTCACAACCGAATAAATATATATTAGAAAGAACTTTAAGAAAGTTTGAATACTATGAAATGCTCTCCAATAAGTTGTTTTTGGTTAAAAAATTAATCAAATATTAATGTTCACGATAATTCTTTTAAAGAAATACTCTAATTCAAATTTTATACTTGATAGATAATTTTATTTCATAGAAAATAAAACGAGACTTAATTGTATATGATTTTTGTCATTTATTTTTTTAATTCAATATTATAAAAAAAAAAAAAAGACATTAATAAACTTGATATAGAAATTTTAACAGTGTACAAAAATATGTTATTGCATACATTTCAATATTGTATACCCGCCAATATTTATCGACAGAGTTATCGGTCCTGAATGTGACTGATATAATTGGGTATGATTTTTTATTATTAATTGTTTTGGCTTTTAACTAGCTGTCAGTAACTGCGAGTACTCTCAAATCGTACTTTCTTTTTAATTTGACCTGTTGATACTATTTGTAATGCTTTTTTGTTATTTAATGTTAACATGGATCTTGTCTATATACCAGCTTTGATTATTTGGTATTACTACAAATTTTCACTTCTTCGTACTATGAACATCAAAATTATTTCATTTTTCCTTAGATGCTGTTCTTGGACCTGTACAGGAAGTTTTATCTAGCACTAATTGTATAGTTTCATTGTTGATATTCACCCCATATGTACCAA